ATGATTATAGTATAGCATAAGCATAACTTCTACGTGCATTGGGAAACCAAAGAATTTATGTGATTTATTGAGGTATTTGTTTTATTGTAGTGGTCTAAAACCAAACCTGCCAACATCTCTGAGATGTGACAATATCAATTTTGGTAGCTGTTAAATGAAAAGAGGGTTTTGTGATCAAACAATTTTGAGAACTATTACATTAAAGTTTAACACATTTTATTAATGTAGTAACTCTCAGAATTTTCAATATAATAATATATTAAGGAGTAATGGGAAGGAGCTAGCATATATGCAAATTTCCAAACCAACTTGGCCCCAAAAACCTATTTTTTTCTTGGAGTATCTCATTGGATGAATAATTGGGGGCAAAAAGAAATGTTGCTTTTGTTTTTGCCTCTTCCTTCTAATCCATCCTTCCTCCAGGCTGCTACAGAGAGTTTTCCAAAACAAACTTGATGATATCACCTCCCTGTTTAAAAAGTATTCCTGCAGGATAAAGTTCGAACTCCTTCCTGCAATGAGTAAGACCTTTTGTGATCTGACCTGTACCTGCTCTCTAGCCTCACCCTAACCATCTTTCTCTCACATCATGAATCATTTTTATTGCTGAAATCTGCACAAATTTCTCCTGGTCTCTTTGCTCTGTACATGCTATGCCCCGTGAATGCAACATTTTCTGTTACCCAGGAAGTCTACCTCTGATCCTCTAAGACCAGGCTCAGTTATCAGCTAATTCACATCTGTTCATACTCTGAGCAATTCCTACTATATGTCAGACATGCACAAGTATTGGAGTTACAAATCCAAATAAACACAATCCCTGCCCTGGAGGGATATATAATTCAAAGAAGTGAGAGAAGCAATGTATTAGTCAGAGTATGGGAATGGCTGTAATAATCAACTTTCACATTTCAGTGACTTGATGTAATGACAGTTTATTTCTCCCTTATAGTACAGTCCAGAACAGCCAAAAACAGGAGTTCAGGTCCATGCAGTCAGATAGAGACCTATGCTTATCCCACTGATATTTTCTGGGGCCTCTAAGTCCTCCGCTGGGTATTTTTGCATCTGGTCATAGTGGAAGAGGAAAGGAGAAGAGTTTGGAGGATCATACAGAGGTTTGAGGAGATGCCTAGCAATGGAGCATATCTATCACATCTGTCTAGAGCTCAGTCACATGGTGGGCCTCCTTGATTACTGAGAAAAGTAGTTTTGCTATGAACCTGGGAGGAAAATGAAATGGGTTTTTCTTGTTCACAGATATATACAGAAGAATGAAAAAGAAGTTCATGCCCTAATGGAGAAAACTGACAAATGAACAGAAACAGGAACATAAGTTGCAACTTCTTTTTAATGAGTTACTGTCAGAAAATTCTAAAGCTGGGCCTCCCCAGTGGCGCAGCGGTTGAGCGCTGGGTTGCGAAGCTGCCCGCGGCCTCTGCGGCGCCGGTTCGATCCCCGGCTGCTCCCTGGCCACCGGAGGAGGGTCCCACATGGCGCGCAGACCTCTCCTGCCGCCCGCTGCTCCCCTCAGCAGTGTACTTCGGTCCTTCTGCCTGTTCTGCTCCCCGCTCTGGCTCTGGTGAATTCTCTCACCCTCCCGTGCTTCTGACTGTACCCAGTGCATGTATAAACAAAACAAACAAACAAACAAACAAATAAAGAAAGAAAGAAAAAAAAAGCATGCCTCTATTAAAAAAAAAAAAAAATTCTAAAGCTGTTGGAAGCCTATGACTGCCCTTCAGAGCTCTTAAGAATAGTTCTTCTAGGGCCTCCCAGGTGGTGCTAGGAAGTGTCAGCACTATGAAGCTATTGGCAGCCACTGTAGCACGAATTTGATCCCCAGGCAGGGAGCTGACCCACATGGCGCAGCAGACCTCTCCTGTTTTGTCCACTGCTCCCCTCAGCAGCGTATTTCAATCTGCCTGCTATACTCCCCACTGTCTCTGGTGAACCTCACCCCCCCCACCTCTGGCCTACACCCCAGCTCTTGTATGCATAAATAAATAAAATAAATCTTTGTAAAAAAGAAAAGTTCTTCTGGTGCCCTTCGTCAACATGGACATAGATATGGTACAGAAAGTCACACATCCTGGTGTCATCCCTGGAGCACACCTTAAGAACCTGTTAGTGTCAACCATCTCTTGTTCCAGTTGCCGATGAGGCTACATGTGACTTCATGCACCTGTACCCCGAAAGTGCATGGGAAGAAACCACATCTGTCTCTGATACCTTGTTGTGTGCCTCTTGATGCCATCACAGAATGCCACTTGGCACCTATGCATTAACAACTGCAATGAATCTTTAGCCAATAGAAGATAAGCTGGTAAATTCCCTTTTCTTCCCCTTCATACAGGCTATACTGAGACTCGTTTTATATGGTTTCTCAGAGGATGATCCCTTGAGCAGGAGAAATCTGGCATGCTTAGTGGAGGCCAAATAAATTGCCATCCTGGCATTGACCCTTTCTTCTTCCCTGCCTTACCTCTCTTGCCTCTCATACCTGCCCTATAGATTAAGGCTCTACATTCTGGAGAACCTAGGCTAAGACATTCCCATGAATGGGTACAGCTAAAAGCCACTTAGCCCTCTCTGTTACCTCTCTAATCCTTATCCACATGGCCCTGGAGCTATGGAAGTGTCTGAAAGGTTAAATTCCATTAGCCCCAGTCAGTTCTGCAGATCTGACTCTTTGAAGGTCAAGGCTGCTGCAGCTTCCAGATCTGTCCTTTGCTTATACCTGTCTGTACCACTCATTCGTAAATCAGTCATACTTCTTTTGATGTCTTGTTTAGTGACATACATTTATGTCTCTCTGTGTTTAACTTTTTACATGCTCCTGTTTTTATTCAACTTTATGAACAGGAATTATTGACAAGTCTGCCTCTCCACTCCCTCCTGCTCCCATACCTCCCAGATGGTCTCTCTTGCTTTAATGTCTTTGTGTATACATTCTGATCTCTCTGTCTGGAGTTCCCAGTTCCTCTACCTCATTCATGTAATTTAATTATTTGTGGGCAAGTGACTTGAATGTGCAAAGGGAGGGGCAACTGACTTTCATGTAGGGCTCATCATGTCTGTCTCTGATACAGCTCTGCTCCAAGCCCCTTCCCAGAAATGTGAACTCAGGCTGACCGAGTTTCAGATTGCAAGATTCTGGGTATCAGCCTGGAGAGCCTGAGGCTACCAGCTGCCTGGTCCTGCCACAGTGCCTGCAGTAAGTGGTTCAGGAGGGAAAGTATGCTGTTCCTATGAAGCAGTGGCAACAAGCAGCTCTCTGCATACTCACACCTCAGCAGCTTGGCGAGACTGGAGATCCCTGGGATCCATAAGTAAATCTCAACTCTAAGCTCCCTGAGGACAGGGATGCAGTCTCCCTTGTGTCTCCAATAATACCTGGAACATAAATGGTGCTTAATAAATAATTGTTTAAGGAAGGAAGGACCCTGAGGCATCTTGGCCAGCCTTAATTTAAATGAGACAGATGTGCACAGGTGAGGTAGGGGGTTTGCTAGCTCTGCATTTTCAAACTGGAGAAAATTCTGGTGTCTGCTCAGAAGTGGTCCTCAGAAGAAAGTGAGGGCCACAGGCTGAAAACCCTAGGAACACTAGATTTCAAAGAAACTAAAAATACTCTCTCTCTGGGGGTCAGAAAGACTCTGTTAAATCATTCCGCTACCCCTGACAAAGTCAAACCATGTTCATCTTAAATGTATCATCAAACAGCTCTTGGAAGCAGGACTCACATCATGCCTACTGTAACTGAGGCAAAATGAGCCTCTACAGTCAGAATTCAACCAGCTTTTTAGTGGGTGCTAAGGAAATACCATGGTAAGAGCAAGGGGTGAAGGGAGCAGGTGATTGCCAAGATCCTGGGGTGTGGGGGCAGTAATGGGATGCCATATAGGGTACACAGTCAGGCAGGGCAAACTCCCCATCCCTCCCTGTCTCCAGCTATTTTCTTTACAACATTTATCACTACCTACCCCTTGTATTTATTTATTGTCTTTCTTCCTCTCAGCACATCCATCCTATGAGAGGAAGGTCTTTGTCCATCGACAGCTGTATCCCCTACCTTAAATCAATGCCTGGCATTTAGCGGGCACTCGAAAATTAGCTACAAGCGAACGAATGAAAGACTATTAAACAATTAGTTGAATTTCTGCCATGCTGGGCCCTGTCCTTGAGGATGCTACAAGGATGTGAGGGAGAGAGGCCTGAATAGAAATACACCAAGCTCGACACCTGCTTTTACGGAGATGCATCCAAGGCGCTGCAGGACTCCCGGGGGCTGAAAACTCCCGGGGTGTGCGGGGACCTTGAGAAAGAAGCAGCCCGTCGTGTGCCAGGGATGCCAGGGAGCCCGGCGGAGCAGCAGCAGATGCGGCTGGAGACAGCCCAGGGGGCTCCTTGGCGCTTCCCTTTGCTTCCTGGCATCTTCTCCCCAGGTTCTGCGGGACCCTCTCTCCTCTCCTCGCTCCTGTCCTCGAAACCTCAGCCCCAGGGGTACCTCTCCGCAGCGGGACCCCAGTCGCATCCTCCTGCACCCCGGGAGACGTTAGTCCCGGATCGCCTAGGTTGCAAGCCCGCTACCTGCGACACCTCCACCTGCGGGCCGAACCCCCGCCGGGTCTGCCCTCTCCGGGTCCCCGCCCCCTGCCTGCGGTCTGCGGCGTGCGGCCCCCGCCCCGCCCCTCGGCCCGCAGGACCCCGGGCTCGCCCCGCCCCCGTGGCCCCACCGCTCGGTCCCGGGGGGCGGGGCCCCGCGCCGCGGCGTCTCCTAGGCGGGGGGCGCGAGGCAGGGGGCGGGGCGTCCGTGCAGCGGGCCAATCAGCGCCGCGATCACATCCATGCAAATACGAGCACAATGGAGCGAGCCCATCACTCGCCCCTGCAAGCAAGCTTGAAATTGGCTTCTGCCTGAGCGGCAGCCGGACCGGCCAATAAGGCTGTGTTTTGGGCCGGCGCAGCCCAATGGCGTGGCAGGGAAGGCGGGCCCGAGTCGGGTTAGGGTGTCCTTGCAGGGTGTCTGAGCTAAACTTCACCAAATAATAGCTGTTTGTATTTTGGCTGCTGCAGGAGCCATTTTAGGTAAGTTCTTCTCTTAACTTTTTATTTTCCTCCCCGGCCTCGGCGGGCCGGCCTCGTCCGCGGCTCCCCGGCCCCGCCCCGCCGGCCGGGCTGGGCGCCCCTATGAATGGAGCCGGGATGGGGGGCTGCGGCGGCGCCCGGCCCGGCCGGGCCGGGGTCCGAGCGGGGCGGGCGGCGGGCGGCCTGGCGCAGGGCAAGCGGCGGCCTGCGGCCTGGGCACCGGGGCCGGCCTCCGCCGCGCCTCGCCCCTCTCAGGCCGCGCTCGGGCCGGGCGGCCGTCCTTGGGCGCGCGCCGCCGCGGGCCGCGCCGAGGGGCGGGGGTCCCCCCAGCCCCGGGCCCGCCGGAGGCCCCCCGCGCCCCCTCGGCCCGGCAGAGGGGGACCCCCGGGCCGACTGCGCCGCGCCGCGCCGGGAGGGGTGACCGCTGTCCTCGCCGCCGCCCCCGCGGAGAAGTTGTTCCATTGGCTTCCTGCGTCTGTTTGCAGGGGTGGAGGAGGGTGGGCTGGTGCCAGGCTGCTGCTCGGGGGGGGGGGGCGGGGGCCCGGGCGCGCACCCCCCTCCGCCCCCCTCTTACGCACTAGCGCGCACTCGCCCCGAAAATTGGAGCCCTGGAGGTGCCCAGCAAGCCCCCAGCCAAGTTTTGTGCGTTATTCGATTGCATATTTGAGCTTTAGGAAAACAAAACAGGAATCCGGCCGCCGGAGGGTTTTTATTTCCTGCGCTGTGGAGAAGTAACGGAGTCTTCAATTTGCCTCTTCAGTTTCCAGGGGCATGTCTGGCAGGTGTGCAGAGGGCTGGCAGCTACTTGGTTTTGAAGAAGACGCTATTAGGAAATCCCCTCATCAGGGAGATAATTGAAATTTGAGTTTGCTGGTAGCTCGTTTTATTTGATCCGATTAAAAATACATAAGCAGGCACTTATATTTGTGTACATAAAGTATTCCGCGTTTCTGTTATGACTGATGTGACTGTGGTTTCGGCAGCGCGGGTCTAATAAGGCAGTGCAGTTCAATTTTGAACTTGTAGGCCCGTGTTCTCTAAATTAGGGTTTATGGAACATTCGTAATATGGCCAAGGTTTCTAGTGAATATTTGGCATCTCCAGGCATCTGTGGGGCTGTGTGCGCTTTATTCACCACCTCCTCAAAACTGTTCATTTCTGGTGTAGCAGATCCATGAACAGAGGAAACGTACATCTAAATTTTTTTCTTTTCTTTTTTTTTTTTTTTTTTTAACAATTTCCAGTCTTCACTATTGCCGAGATTCTATTCCTAAATGGCCTACAGGAATATACTGCCGATAGGCCCCATATTTTGACATACTTTATGGTGATTTGCTTCTGGTCCCTAGAAAAGTCCAATGAGGGACCAGTCTGCTTTGCTCCAAGGTTAATTGTGAGCTGTCTCTCTTACTGGGGAGACTGCGCCGTGGGCACAGGATAGTTTGATGGTAAACCAAATTGTAAGATCAGGTTGGCAACAAGAGGGAGACAGTTTTTGTGAACTTTGTGGCTCTTTGGCAATAGAAAGATTTGAGATCCATGCATAATAAAATGATTAGGCATGAATAGTCAAGTAACATGGTTTATGCCAACCACAGCAGGTGGTTTCATAGAAGCAGTGCATGACTGTTACTAAAGGCCTGGGAAGACAGGGAGTGGTAAAATTATTAATTTTGGAGTTCTTTCTGTTTCAGGGGAGATTTCCTAGACGAATTATTTAAATGTTTTTCTTTGATTAATGAACTATTAAAAGCAAACCTTAAGATTTTTTCTTTTTTGCTAATTTGGAATCTCCCTTATAGTAACCAGATTGGGGTACTGTCCTTGTTATAGTCTAGCCGTGGGCAAAGTAAATCCAGATCTATTGTGAAATAAGAGTTGTATCTCATGTGGTTATCACAGTCTCCCTGGAGTCATATCTTTTATACTGCAGTTACTTCTTTGCTTTTTACAAGTCTGTTGTTAAAGCACTGCAGACTCTTTCATTGTGATAACTTTTATCACAGTTTTTTAGTAATTATAAATTGAAATTTATAAAATACTGCTATTGAACACTTTTTACACTTTTGAGTTTTTAGTAGTATACTTGGAGGTTCTCAGAACTCATCAGTATATTCAGGCAAACTACACAAAAAGTTGAAAGACTAGTTGGAAGTAAAGTGGGAGAGCCACAACTAATGCTGCTGCATTTCTGGAAGATCTTTTGGCAGTTAGTTTTTAGGTATTTGTTGATTTACTTTCTTGTAACTGTTTCAAATGCCAAAGAAAATCGTAAGCAGAATCTCTCTGTTTGGGAACCAGATCTTATTTGTGATTTTCCCCATTATATTACAGAAAATCTATCAACAACAGGCCCTTGGGCAACTGTGTCTTGGGAATCTTTTTGATTTATAGACGTTTCAAAGAACTTTTCTTGGAAATATGGCTTTGCCCCAAGCAGTTTGTGGTTATGTCTTCATGTGTTATACCATAGGAAAAAGGGTTCCACAACCCCAGGCTTGATTTGATTCTCACTGTAGGTTTTTAACTTCCATGGAAAGACTTTGTGTTGGTAATGACCAAATGGAATCACACATGGACCGCACATGTTTTAAATCTTTTTGAACAGGTTTTAGGATTTAAGGATTCAGTTTCTGCAAAAATTTCTTTGGTATAGGACAATGATGGTATCTAGGACAATGACAATATTTAAATCCATTGGGGAGATTGTGTTCTCCCTTTTCCTTCAGACTGTGTTCTCCCTCTCCCTTCACCTCAGTCATGTAAGCTTTGACAGTTTTATTTTTAATAAATACTTAGTGGTTCTCTTTATAACTTCCATCCCTCATACAAAGCTTTAGTTTAATTTAGGTGAAAATCTGCGGTGACTTCCGTGGGACTGCCTGCATTGTCCTATACTAGGTCATTTTATTGAAAACTCTTTGAAATACATAAAATAATAGCTAGGGCTTAGATATCTGCTCTCTACAGAACATTTGTTTGCAGTAGAATGTGACATACTTGTGAGGCAAGCAGAAAGAACTAGCATCGAATGAATACCTGTTGTGGGTCCATCACTCAGCTAAGCACTGGGGCTATGGAGATGGGGAAATAAAAACAACCCTGTTTGGACTGCAGCTCAGGGAAATTAAGTAACTTATCCAAGACCACAAAGCTAGTAAATGTTACAGCCAGAATTTGAACCCAGATCATTTGTATTCAAAACATATATTCTTGTGGAAGGGTCAGTCAAAACCAAACCAATAACAAACTTGCAACCAGAGGAGGAGAAATTTTCACCTGAATTAAACTAAAGCTTTGTATGAGGGATGGAAGTAAAAAGAAAACTAGTAAGTATTTATTTAAAATAAAGCTCTCAAAGCTTGTGTTACTGAGGGAAAAAGGAAAAAAGAAGGGAAAACACAGTCTCCTCAATTGATTCAGACACTGTCATTGTCTTAGATACCACTGTTGTCATATACTGAAGAAATTTTTGCCCAATGGAACATGGTGGAGGATTGTTGGGGCACTGGTGGTGGGCAGGGTATGAAAGTACACATTTGTAGATCGAGGTTTGAACCTATAACCCTCAGAGCAGCTACAAAGATAGAAACCTACTTTACTCAATACACATAATTTTGGGGGAAAAACATTTTCACCACCAAGCCTTTATAAAGATTTCTTAAAAAGCTAGGGTGTGCTGTCATGTTTTAGTGGTATGGTGCTAGATTAACACACTTTGCCTAAGTTCTGCACATGCATTCATTTTTACTAATCCATTTCAGGAATTTGTCACTGAAGAGGCAAATGGGAATACAGTGAGGGCACCCTCCCCCCCACCCTTGTCTCCATAGCACAGGAGAGGCCTTCTTGGGCTCCTAGGAGTTCAGGGGTAGCCTGGTATGGTAATGACCATGAAAGTGCAGAGGGAGTGTACACTTTCTCCTTGCCAAAACGTTCTTTTCTTTAGTTCTTTTTGTGGAGGCGTTGATACCCTCATGAGAAATTCTGTTACTTCCATAAAAGTCCAGGAGGTAGTAAAATGAAGTTATTTAAAAACATCCATCCCTGTACCCATTTCTGAACTAAATTATTTGCGTAAAATCTTGGGGAAAGTGTTGATTGATTTTTGCTTGTAGTACCTGTAGGCTGGTTTTTTATAGTTTATGATTCTTCACATCTTCTACATTTATTCTTTATATTGTTTGCCATCAGTGAGACCTTTAAAATCTTTTATAATGTACATGACATAAATAGCTTCTATTTTGAGGGATTATTTTAAGTTGATGACTCTTTTATAATCAAAATGAAGGACTTAATTATTTTAGCGAGGAAAAAAATAGATATTTTAATACACTACCATGGTGCTTTTTATCTGTTAGCTATTTCAGAAGAACTTAACATGCTGAAACAATTCCTGAAAATTTCTGGAAAGCTAGGGAGTAATCACTTCAGGACATTAGTCCAAATACAAATACACAGTGATGGATATATATTTGAACTTTCTAAATAAGTGAAGAGAGATTTCTGTTTTTCTACCCCTTAAAGATTTTCTAGGGAGTGTTAATTGATCTAATTTTATAGATCAAATATATTTTATCAGTAAATTTTAAAATATTGGATTTTCTTCAACACTATGTATCCAAGGTATCTTACTTTTGGAATCTCTGTTTTTTAATTCTAAGATTGCCTTTATATAAAAGGTCTAACTACTGTGTATCACTGACTTTTAGTTCTACCTATTTAGGTTGATGCCTTTTGCCCTGGTTCCTGGGCTCCTGGGGAGTCTTTGGATAGTCTGTGAACTCTCCAAATAGTATACAAAATGTTGATTGTTGGTGTATTTTATATGGGAAACACATTCTTTGCTCTTTGTGACTCTCAAAGGGATCTTTACCTCCCCCACCCCATCTCTTCCCAGCACCATGCAGAAATATTAAGGATTATTGATTTAGGCCATTCCAAAACAGTTATTTTGTATGAGTAAAATCTTTTGTCTGGAGGTAGACGACTTTGGGTTT